AATTGTCACGTAAGCATTTTTTTACTAAACTAGCATATTGTTTAGCTATCAGAATTTACATCAATAACTATGAAAAATGATATTAACTCTCTGTTATATTACGAATGTTCTTAAAAATAGCACTATTCCTATTCCTGTTAAACGTAAAAGATTGAAAACGTAAAAAAAGAAAAAAAAATTGTATACCATTCCGTCTGTATTTTAATACTGAGAAATGTGTATGTTCTGCTTGAAATATCTATTAATTCAAAAAAAAAATTCTATAACGTAAGTTTTAGAGCAAAAAATTAATATGAAATTGTGGTTAACATCTGATTTAAAATTTAAGAATAGTTAAAGTGCAATAAATTGAAATAATTTTTAGAACAGATAACAACTTTTTCGTATTGGTTTCAATTTTATTGGCATCGTATAGTGCGTATATGGCCAAATTTAGCATATCTCTTGTTTTATTTACCAACAGAAATGGCAGTGTTACATTATTATCCAAGTTGGAAAGTTGAAGATTTGTATGATTCCTGCGCTCATAGCTGGTGGAAAACTTTATTGTTCGTCAATAGTATCAGCGATAATGATTGTATACCATGGACTTGGTTTGTCCATTCTTACCGCTAATTTCTGATAAATTATTTCCAAACTAAACGAAATTCACAAACTTTATATTAAGAACTTGAACAAATTAAAATGAATGACAACAACAAAATAAAGAATAATTTTTATCAAAAAAAAGAAAATTATAATTTCTTTCATACTTTTTAACATGACGAAATTATTTGCTAAGCTTATTTTGATTAAAGCCTGAATGCTAATCTTTCTTGCATCCTCAAGAAATTTATTGCTTTTGAGTATGAACTTGCATCATTATCTATTTTTCTGAAAAAGAAATATCACTTTTGGACTTCCTAAAAAAAGTCCAAATTTAAAATAGGTCAACAGTAAATATAAATAATATGAATAATATGGGAGTGATATTTCTCTCAAGAATAAATCGTTAGTTACTGTATGATATTGCAAGTGATTATATTAGCTCAAAAAGCCTGAAAAGCATTAAGAATAACAAAAACAAAAGAAATAATAAGTGTTGATTCAATGAATTCCATTCTCAGTTACTGTTCGACATCACTTACTCTATTAGTTACTCATTAATTATTGTATAACATTGTAAGTAATCATATTACTTGAAGAATACTAAGAATGAGAAAAAAAGAAATAATATAAATTACGTTCCCAGGTATGTCGGAACAGATTTCGTATTTTATGCACTTTCTCCAATTTATCTGTTATCTTTTGATAAATCATGTAAGTTGGGATTAATAATATCCATGGTGACAATTGTTGCTTCTGCGGTGTTAAATGTCATCACAATGAAACAATTCAAATATCCTCCAACACAGTTCGTATGGGAAACGCCAAGCATATTTAATCCCGATTACGTTACGGTAATGTTTTTCTTATCATAATGAAAATAAAAAATTAAGCTTAGCGGAATTTGTGCTTTGCTGGATTGCTTGTAGCCGTGTATACATCTGACCAACATCATCGTATTACAGAAAGTATTCACGTAGGAATACCTCGAATTTTTTTTATTTGGACAATTTTTGACTAAATTTTTTTGTTTTTTAGTGTATCATCACTTCTATTTGACGATATAATTTTCTTACTACTAATTTCTGAATTCAGAACAGATTTTTCTTAGAAAAAATCTAGAGAAGATGTGCTAAATTTAACTGTTCAATAAAAAGTATAAATCCTCTCTTGATAATTTAAGACCATCTTATTGTTCGGAACAATTTTTTGGCTATCTAAATCAGTAGAAAAGCAATTGACATGCTGATGTTAACTTTAGCAAATATCATTGAATGTAATAAATGCATATTTATTAATTATCACATGGCATTTTTTCCATTTTTAGGAAAGTTTAAACTTTAATCCTTTATTTACGATTAAATATGACGAGAACTTTGCTTCTTATCCGATTCAATTTTTGGGGATTTTAATTTATAAACTCGACATTTAATTTTATTAAAGACATTCAAAAATTCTAACAGTTATGAGGTTTAATACTTAATTAGAAAATAGAAACAAAAGTTACTGTTTATATTTCAGCATCAACGCATTATATACATTAAACCACACTATCGAATTGGCTCTTATATCGTTGGCATAATGCTCGGATATCACCTAGCAAATAATAAGGGGACATTATCGCAGGCAAAACTTTGTTGCGGCTGGTTACTATCTATTATACTTGGTCTTATTAGCTTATTTGGACTTTATCCAGCTTTACAGGTTTGTTACTCAACAAGGTATTAAAATTGCAGGTAAATTATCGTAATACTTTTTGCGTGACATATATTAAAAAAATAATGAGATGAAATTAAAAGTATCCATTCTGCTAACTTATTTTTGCCGATATCTTCGTCTAGAGATTGCTCTTCCATTATTTACTTGGTAAATTTAATGGACTTTATGCAGGATAAACGTATGAAAATTTAATGAGCATAACAGATAGTTCTGCGAAAAAGGATTACATAATGAAAGTGTGTCGTATCGTTGCACATGTTTTAGGGATGGCACTGGTGGTCATATCATTTATTATATGGTGCCTTACATCGTGTTGCATGGGCAATAGCAATTTCTTGGCTTATTTTTGCGTGTCACAACGGACATGCCTATTACATGAACCGTTTCCTGAGCTCTTCGTTTTTCATATATCTTTCAAAACTCTCTTATGCGGTATTTTTATCACTATTTCATTTTCATTTCACAACAACCAAATATTTATTGACATATAAACATATTTACAAAAAGCCATTAAAAATTAGTGTCTTACTGGTTATTACTTTCTGACATTATCTATTAATAATTTGTTCAAGTCTACTCATACAGAAGATTGTAAAAACAACTTAAGGTACTGCAAAAAATTTTTAAATTCCTTTAACTCGTTTAGAAATCGAGAATTGCTAAAAAAAACTTTTAAATCTCTTTTAACTCGTTTAGAAATCGAGAATTGCTAAAAAAAACTTTTAAATCTCTTTTAACTCGTTTAGAAATCGAGAAATTGGTCATTCTATAGTAAAAAATCTTCCCTAACTCTCTTATGAGATAAGTTTAAAAAATTTTTTGTTTCAAACTTTATTTTTTGGAGAATTTTTACTCTTTATACATAGCCTGAATACGCTTCCTAAAACAAACGTCTCAACAACATTTTTACGTTTTCTTATAATGTTTTTGACACATTTTCAGGTTTATCTGACTCATTTATTTGTGATAGACGGTTTGTTTATGAAAAGAGAATTCCCGATCGTTTTCAATGGAATACAAACAATAGTCAAGCTTACCGTGGAAGGAATGATCGTTTCGCATATTCCTAGCCTCCTTTCATTGTTTATTGTCGAATACCCTCTCATAAAAATTGACAATGCAATATGGAAAAGACAGAAATCGCATAACAAACAAATTGAATTAACAAAAATTGAGTGTGAAAATGAAACTCAAAGTGCTCTACTTAGAAATGATTCATTAAAATAAGGATAAATTTCCACTCATTGATCTTGCCCAAAGTTCTTTTAGTTTTTCACATGCTTGAGAACATGACATTTGAAAGAATAAGATCCTTCTTGTCTTAATCTTTTTCGTATGAAGTAAAAAATCCCTTCATTTGTTTCAATTCCTATACAATTCATCTTATTAAAAATATCTGTAGAAGTAAATCATGTTAACTTGAAGCTCTATTTTCTTATCACCTTGTCGTTGAGATATCTGTTACAAGAGGAAGATAAATTTGTTGTATAGCTGATAATCGATCTTTCAAAGAAAATAATGTTTGCTCTGCAAGCACTATATTCTGCTGACTTGCAAAAGTTGAACCTTGATGGGCAGTACCAACACAAACATGACTTAAATATTGCATTTGAGCGTTCAAATCAGTTTCGATTGAATTAAGACATTTTTTGAATGCTGATGATGCTTCCTCCATCTTAGATTTGCTGATCTGAAATGAAGCTGAAATATATTCTCATAGAAATAATTGAAACATCTATTCAATAACAATGCAAACAGAATGATGCCAAGCATTAAAAAATGCTATTTTCGCTTTCATAGGCCACATTTTCCTGTGATTTCTTCAATTCTCAATATACTGGCATGTAAATTGTACTGTATTTAAATGTAACATGAGACCAAACGTATCAAAGTACTAATATGAGCCCAAATTTTGCTCCTCATCAGAATCACACAATAACGACTAATGTTTTTCGCATAACGCGAATGATGGCACTTATTCAGTTTTTTCTCAATAATAGAAAAACATAAAAATAGTGGTATTATATTATGTAAGGAAAATTAATAGCGACAGTGTTTTTTGTACCTCAAATATATTACGTCACATGCATCAATTTTGTCATAACATGCAGCAACTAATGAAACGGCTTCAAGAAACACAATAGATATCTGCTGAGAAATTAAACAATGGAGGTTCTCATTAAATTACGATGAAGAACTAAGGAAAATTTATGCTTCATTTTGCATTTCAATAAAATGTAATGTTTTTTTAAAAACGAAATACACATGTACAGTACTTGCCTGTTTTTCTTTGCTTAGTTCGTTGACACATGTTTGAGCATGTTTGATTAATTCAGCTATTTTCTGTTCAACATCACCGATAGCTTTCAATCGCCATGCTAGCTCTGAACCAGATGAAGTGCTTAGATTCGACATATCATGTAATACTAAAAGTATGATTTTGGATTAAACTGTTACAGTTGATTTCCATATATAGATATACTTACTTAAACAAATTCGTTTATTTTGTAAGAATCAAACGATACTTTTTAAGAGTAAAGTAATGAAAGAAACATCTCTTGATATATTATCTTCATATAATTATCGATTGCAGTATCTACCAGTACGACCAAACATGAAGCACCACACCTGATGATATTTGTGACCTTTTGCAGAGATTCTTTAGATGTAACTATCAAAAGATTTACCAGTGCATATATTAATGCTATTAGCGGCTTCATCTTAACACCTTATTTTAATAGCATTAATCAAGATTAAATAAAAAAAACAAGTACCCATCCCCCATCTTGACCAGTAGTCAATCAAACTTGCTGGACAGAACGATCAACAAAACTTCCTGACACAACGACGACTCATTCGGTTCGGTTCGGACACGATCTGCCAACATATATATGATGTTATCATGTGCGGTTTGCAATCGTTGGTTCGTTTTGTTTCATTTAACCTTTAACCCGAAGTGTTAAATAGTTTTAGTGTAAGATATCAGAAGTCTCCCATGAACGAAGTAAATGCTTCAGATAGTAATTTATCATGGGTTACTGCTTCTTATATGTTATATTACCGCAAGCAAGTAGTTGTTATGTTCATGCTCAGATGACTCATCCTCGCTACTCTTGCAAGTGTTTATTCTTTTACTTCCTTCTATATGTGAATCATTAAAGTTGAGAGATTTATTCATATTTATTAGGTTTATGCTGAGAAAATAAAAAATTTATTGCAGAAGAAAATATTGAAAGACGCTGAATTGGAATTTGAAGAATACATTGAATGTTAGAATATCGCTGTGGTTGATCTTTGATAAGCTAATAATGGCACGTGTAATATTACTCGCATCATCGTATTGTAATTCTGTTAGGTGAATTTTGATTTGTTTTACCTAAATTAATTTCGCCACATTGTTGAACTTTGTTCACCTCTTGCTTCTTTTCTCTCCCTATCTTCTTTTCTGACATGCTTTTAATAATATTTCCGTCAACATAAATTTTTCAAAGTTTTCAGTATTTCTGCATCAGTATTTCTACCGAAAACGCAAAGCTGCCGATCAATAAGTAGAAAGATTCCTCCACCTGGAAAACCACCAATTTGCCCTCCTGCCAAAAGAGTATTACATTTTTTTTGTTACCATTTTCTTCCACAAAAAATGATTTTTAAAAAAGCTTCGAGATCAGTATATTTCTAGTTTCTACTTAAAATCATTTGTACTCGTTCAGCAGTTGAATAATTAAAGGTGTTATATCATGTTGTGCATCATCGCTGGATGAGACCAGATGTTGTCAAAGAGTTGTTATGGCGTCGACATGTTTACAACAACGCTATAGTGTCATTACGCAAATTGTTCAAAGAAGAATCTGCAAAAAACACATATGAAGGTGCAAATTTTTTAAAATATTTTGCTAGACGTTATATTTTCTTCAAAATTGAACTAATGAAGTATTTTCCAGAGTTTATCATTTTTAACTAGAAACTTGTGGAAAAATGTTTTAAGATGTGATAGCTAAAGAAGCACTGGAAGAGAGTGAAGAATTCGAACATTTATTAGCAATAAATGAAGAGAGGAATCAGGAAGCGGCAGAGTTTGTTTCTGTATTCTTTTTTTTTTATGCCGCTTATAATTATTATTTAATTAACTTTCACATTTTCTTAGATCCTTCCAATTGGTAATAGTTTCTTAAATATGAATTCAGGAAAAGGGATAAGCGTGAGAAAGAAGAACTGAGGAAAATGGAGTCCGAATATTTGAAAAGTATTGAAAAAGAGTTGGAAAGAAGAGAAACAAATGTTAAACAAAGGATGAAAGAAGTGCTTCAGATGGTAATTTGTTCGTTATGTTCTGATAGTACAGTAATTTAATTTTTCAGTCAGTTTTTATCTTAGATATTTTTTTATTCTTATACAATTGTTTCAGGTTGAACGGAGCAAACATTTCATAACTGATGAAACTCTGGATGAGAAACTAGAGGAAGCTTTAGATAATCCAGTCGTTTATGATTACGCGGTAGATTTGCAAGGTAATAGGTATTATGCACCAGTACCAGAAAAATATATCAAAGGTACTCCTCCTCGTCAAAAGGGCCGCATGTACGATATTACTTTGGGTACCGAACATTATAGTAAGTTGGTGCCGTTCTCTGTTGATTCCAGTACGAGTGCTCAAAAAGAGGACTTTAAACAAAGGCAACAACAAAGCATATCTGTTTAATTATATCCTTGATATGAAATTCCTTGTAATTTACGGCTAATCAAGAATTCAATATTCAGATTGATAAGTTTCTTGTTGTTTCATGGTCGAAGTTTAACTTTTATGGTCAGAATTTTTAATATTTTAGGTGGTCAAAAAGCAGTTAATGATATAGTTTGAGAATTGAAATTCAAGGAAATAAATAATAAAGATTTGACGAATTGCTTGTGATAATATATGTATTACTGTACAGTATAGAGATATTCTGGTAATGGCGAAGACTAAAGTACAGCCTAAAATAATAAAATATGTAACCCTTTCATCCGTTACACTGTTGCTTATTTCTAACCACTCCACATGCTCCATGTCTTCCTATTTTTTATTGTATTTTCGGCTGCAAAATATTTTCAGTGATAACTTTTGATAATTTGTTTATATGAATTATTCAGAACTTGCATATTTCATGCACTGTTTACCATTATGTGCTCACTTGCAAATGTTATCATGAAACAAATAAATAATTAAAAGATGTAAGCTGAATTTCAAAGTTTTGTTATTACGCCATTTATCTTTTTATAAAAGTGGAAATCCGTAGTAATAAGATTGGCTTTGAAGCATAAAACTTTGTGCTTCGCTCTTTCGAAATATGTTTTAAACAACTGGGTATTTTACCAGCTGTATTCTACCGATTGATATATTTTAATGTGACTAGAGTTGTCCCGTTCGCGTTTTATTGCTCTGCGATTGATATTTCTACTCATAATGATTTTCTCACTATCCATCAGAATAGCAAATTAACAGTTAAAACGGACACTCAAGTATAAATTAGATATTTGCCGCGCATATTTATCTTTGTCAAAATATTAATCTGGGATTTTTCAGTCATAAATGAGTTAGTGCGTGGGAAATTAAACATAGTTTATCATTCTGATAAACATTAGGCCGTACATTACATCGACTTTAATGCAGAAGTATATTTTCATTGAACTAACTTTGTATATGTATTATCAAAACATGAGAATTTTCACTTTTTTTTTGTTTTTGAAATATTTGTCAATTTCCATAGCTATATAAATGTGATTATTTGTAAATGAATTTCAAGCTTTAGTTTTTAAAAGTTTTAGATGATTATTGTATTTTTAAATTGTTACTTTTTAAGGAGCAAGATGCCGGTACCTCCACCTCCACCACCACCGCCTTTAGCAATACCTTCGTCAGGTGTTAAATCAGCCACTACCGCTGTGCAATCTAAAGTTAATGATCGGTCCAAACTACTGAGTGAAATTCAAACTGGTATGAAATTGCGGAAAACTGTAACAAATGATAGATCGGCACCAGTGGTTGGAGGGAAAGTTGCAGGTAAGGTAAACTGTATTTATATGTGTTAAGAGGAAATAATCTTATGGTTGTGTAAGAAAATAAGAAAAAGGATCTAGATATTATGCAAAACGCAGCAAGGATTACAAATCCTTTTTCTATAATTATTATTTTTTGTGCATTTGAATTCCTCCTGCAGATTTGTCGGAGACCGGTGGCGGGACTGCCATTACTGGTGGGTCAAAAGTTTCAGCTGTTGGAGGAGTTGGTAGTCTTTTTGTGAATGGTATTCCAAAAAAGCCGTCTGATAACAAGAGGAATCAAGCGAACGTCTTTAAAGGTATGTTCTTGGTTTTTAATAAAATCAAAAATATTTTATCATCGGAAATCAATCGCGAACTGTTTCATCTTTTTTGACAAATATTTAATTTATTAAATAGAATGTTAGGTTTAGGTGTAGTAGCTAGTCCACCGCTTCTACCAAAACCGTCCGAAATGCATTCTGCAAAGCCAACAACTCATTCAGAGCCTCAAGAACAGGTAATTTTAGGATTAATCATTCAACAGATTTATTTCATTAGTCAGGTTTAACTGTGCCAAATGCGTGATGTTGTTGAGTTGCGTGAATAGATTAATGATTGCACCTTTGTTCTGTGTTCTATCTGCATTTGCAAGTCAACTTACTTCTATATTTTCGAACATTATTTTATTCATGCCTTTAAAAATATGAAACTTTTTTTCAGCATCTTTCGACATCATTGACAGAATGTTCTGAAGCTTCTAGTATTTGTCGTCAAACTTCTGCTGGAATAGCTAGTCGTCTAAAACAATTTAATCAGGTCTGAATTTCATTGCAATGAGATGTTTGGATTTTTATATTAGATATATTTCCATGTGAAAAGTAAATTTTATTAGCTACATTATTTTGTGAAGTCATTTCATGACAGGAAATGAGGTCTCTGATTTGTAATTCCTATACATTGGCATGAACTTGTTTGAGTACATATCGTTGCTTGAAATGTTTTCGTACATTATTTTTGACTTTCCAAGATTTTTCAGGTCACTCGACCGGGGTTAGCACCACCAACACCACCATCACTCAAAACCAAGCCGATTGTTAAAGATATTAGGTCTTCACCGACAAAAAAAATTTCTGTTCCAGAACAGTTCAAAACCTTGAGACCGAATAGGACTGCTAACGATGTCTCTTCTTTGCGTCGATCTGGTAGTTCTGATGTATGTTAATTTCATTTAGTTTGATGTTAAATTAATATGCGATTCTTAATTAACTTTAATATTTCGCAAGTTAATGTCTAGACTGGAATCTTTCCTTTGAAGGAAAAATGGTTGTTTTAGTGCTGCAAATCTTCCGTTAGTGACTAACTCTTTTGGTGCCATTGCTGACGGCTGTTTTTTAGGATGTAAGGAATCCGCAATCATCGCTACCGAATAACCATAACACCCCTCCATCAAGCACTCCTTTACCCTTGAATTCATCTGGTTCGACTAGAATTCCGAAACCAGCATGTCCGCCTCCTCCACCACCTAATCAGGCATCCCGAATTGGACGTCCAGTGGCTCATCCATTCAACCACTTCACACCAGTTTCTACTCTAGGAATATCTCCCAATGTATTAATTGACGATGATTCACCTCCTCCACCACCGCCTCCTCGAATAGCTTCTTGTGCCGATCAAATGGACCGTTTCACCTTTATTCCTCTCAGTGAGCTACCACCTCCAGGAATTTTTTCTGGAACAAAGAAAGTCTATGAATATCATCCAGCACGTAAAATTCAAAGTGCTTCTTCGATTTACCATTAATTTTGACATCTATAAATTTAATTTCTTTGTTGATCAATTTATGATCAGTGTAGTTGATGCACTCTATCAATCATTTTCTGTTTTATTTCATCATATTTTCATAAAAGCTTTGCTTTAATCGCGTGATTGGCGTTATTGTGCCTAATTTAAATTGTAAGTTAAAAGAATGGTTGGAATATATAAATTCATTTTCTTGACTTTTTCTCAAAATCTGCAAACTATGAAACAAATTTCAACAATGCAGTGGATGCGGGTAATTATCTCTGTAACGCCTTCTCTTTTAATCAACTATTTTTCTTCTATTTAACAGATTTATTTTGTATTTAATTTGTTGCTTGTCATCTTGGTCTTGATTTCTATAAGTAAACTGGTTTGCCATTTTTGTTCTTGATCTATTAAATATTCGTATTTGCTGGACGGGTACAAAATATTGAACTTTTTTCTTTTAAAGATAGTTATGAGGTGCAGCCGAGTTTTTCTGGGAATAGGATAATATGTGGAATGATTAGATCTATTTAACGTTAATTTCAGAGAGAAGATAATAGAGTTATTCAGAGCTGAATTTTGATTAAAATACTGTCCTAGAAAATATGAATTAAAAAGGCCTAAAAATCCTCTGTTATTATTTTAGAATATTAGTGGGCAGTAATTTTAATATAAAAATTAGCTTTATAAATTATCAAATTATTGTTGCCCTCTACTTTTGATTTCATGTTTTCCAGGTTTTTTAATCCCGATATGTCTACACCTCAGTGATTAATTTATAATTCAAACAGCTATCATGAAGCAAGTTCCCTTTCTATTTCTTGGAAATCATTTGGAGTTAGCAAAATGTCTCAGGAACAGGAGTAAGAGAAGAGAATTTTTGTATTGACTTACGTCCTTCACAACTGAAAAGTCATAAGCTAAATTTGGAGAATTTCTAACAAGTAACTTTTATTATTTCTACGTAATATTATTCTTTCATAGGATCGATGTTGACGGTTTGGAAGTTTATTTTCCTTATGACTACATCTATCCAGAACAAATTCTCTACATGGGTGAATTAAAAAAAACTTTAGATGCTAAAGTGAGTTTTGTCGAATTCCACTGGATTTTCATCATTATGTTCTTAATCCAAGATGAATCTGTTTTTTTTTTTTATTATGAAACGTTATTAAATGATAAGTCATTTAAAAAGAATAAAAATTACAGGGACACTGTTTACTGGAAATGCCATCAGGCACAGGTAAGACTGTTTCATTACTCTCTCTTGTGGTGGCATATATACTGCGGTTTCCGGACCGTCTGGACAAGCTTGTCTATTGTTCGCGAACAATTCCTGAAATTGAAAAATGTGTTGAAGAACTTCGTAATCTTTTCAAATATTACAAGCAGTGTGATGGTGTTAGTATTTATTTTTTTTATTTGTCGGAAACAAAAAATATATAGGACTAAGGAGAATTTTGTTTGTGCTGGAATACTTAACCATAAATAAGAGTCAAATTGTTGTAACCGGTAATTTGATTCTTGAATTCAAATCAGTATGTTTTATCAAAGAATCAAAAAAAGTTTGTGTGGAAAGAAATTTGTTTACAATTTTCAGTGTCGTACCAATTTTATTTGTTTAAGAAACCACCATCTTTATTTGCGGTAGCTCTTTCTGCTCGTAAAAATTTGTGCATTAATGAATCAGTATCTTCATTGCGACAGGGTTCTTTGGTCGATGGAGCATGTCAGAAGCAAGTTTCAAAAGTTTTTTTCCAAATTGTAATTCAAATTCTATAAGAGAAATTTTTTCCCTATAACTTTAATCATTAATTTGACTTTTGAACAATTTGTCAAGTTAAGGTTGACGGCGAGCTTTATGCGCGCTAAGCGTAGGCTTCGTCCGGACTTACCATGCTGTACATTCTTCGAGAAATTAAATGAACAAAAAGATTTCAATTATCCAGATGGTGTATATAATTTGGTATGTTTTTTAAAAATTTAATATTGTTACAGATAGTTTTGAAGATTATTTTTTTAAGGTTTTATATGTTAAATATACCTTCATGTAATATAAACTGTTGTTTACTAAAAATTTAGTAACATGATTTTATTCGTTGTAATCGTATGAAATCGTTACTGTTGATTCTTGTTTTGCAGCAAAATTTGAAAAAACTGGGCCAACAGAAGGGAATCTGTCCCTATTTTTTGTCACGCAATGCTGTCGATCGTGCACATATTGTTGTATATTCTTACCATTACATTTTGGATCCAAAAATTGCGGAATTGGTTTCAAAAAATTTTAGTCGTC